GGGCACCTCCGGGGGTTCGGAGGCATCTCCTGGGGCTCCCAGGGCTCTGAGGCACCTCCCGGAGCTCCCGAGCACCTCCCAGGCACCTCCCGCGGGCGCTGCGGGGACAAGGAGAGACCCGGCGCTCCCCTGGTGCCGGGCCCGGGGCTGTCGGGCGCTGAAGGGACCTTGGACAAGACCCGTGTAACCAGTCGCTCCATCTGAAGCTCAACCTGTCGGGAGTGTTTTGTTGTTCCAGCGCTCCCCGCCGGCCCACCCAGCCCTCCCGGAGAGCAGCTGAACGACCCCGGCAGACACACGGCACAACCATTTCGGGGCCAACGGCCTTCGGTGTCACAGGCCAGGCCCGTGCAGAGGCGGAGCAGCGGTACCCGCCGGCCCTGGGCCCGCCCCCGAGCCGTTACCAGAAGTTCACCGTGGAAGGGTTGTGTTTGTTTTGCTGCTTCTTTCTGAAGCGCAAACCATGAAAGAAGAATTAACAACTAACGCAAGCATTCTGAAGCCCAGTATATTTTTCCTGGGTTATCAAGATAGGCTTCATACAACTTTGCAGCTTTTAGCTGGGTCATTTTGTTAAGAAAAAAAATGCAAGCAAGACCATTTTAAAGAATATTTTTATAGTACATTCCCTTTTAAACTCTCAGAAATAACGTGGCATGGATTCATTACACCAGCTCTCCACAGAAGATGAATTTGAAGGCAAGAAGAGTAACACTCAGGGTGGTTTTACTATCACTTGAGAGGCAAAGCCCTTCCCTAGTTTAGCAATTATCAGTGGTGTCCAGGCTGCTGTCGATAATAATGGTGCACAACACAGGAATGATAGAGACTGTGATGTAAAAGAAAATAGAACTTCACGTCTGCAAATCGATTCTGCAGTTTTTCAATCTCCCCGCTCAGCGACGGCGCCGCCTGTGAAATTGTCCCTAGAAATACAGGACAGAAAAAGGAGAATATCTCTGCTCTTACCTTTTAGCTAATGACATTGCCTGACCCAGTTCGTTTCCTTTGGTGTGGACACTCAGGCTGGGCTGGATTAGTGTTCAACATGCAGGAGCAAAATGGAAAATGTTTTTAAATAGAGAGGCCGGATGGAACCTGCACTTGGGAGCACGAGCTTTTCTGGAAATAAGTTCCCTCTGTGAGGTTTTTGGTGCAGCACATGAATTGCCATACAAACAGGTTTAAATATTCTTTGAGAGGCATTGATACCAGCACTTTCTCTTAGTCTGAAGTCCTTCTCAAGTGCCATATGCCACTGCCCCCTCCCCTCTCTGGAAACCTTCATTAGCACTCTCCTGGCAGCCCAGGGACCTGGCTTTTTCACCCACCTCTGCATATCATTTACTGGATCTCTCGGGTACAAAATGCAAAACATGTTGCCTGTGCAAGCTGCTCTGAAATTGGTAGCTTCAACATGCTAGGTGACTGCTGGGTGTTATAAATGGCATTTGCATTGCACACAAAGATCAGAACCAATTCTTTCAGAAATTACAGAATGCTTAATGAGTTCCAGCTCCCTTTCCTTCCACCAAGTGCTTTCTCTTTTCTATTATTGTGTTGCCTAGAAGAGATGCAGGCCCAGTATTTGAGCATGGAGCTAGAATTCAGGAAATTGCTGCTTATACTAATTTACTACATGCTGTTGATCAAATCATTTGATTTTATGGATTTTGTCTTCCCAGGAGATAATGAGGAGCTGTGAAGCCCTTAGAGATACATCGATGTAAATTCCTTTATCAATATTGTAATAATTTTTGGTAGCGTGTTTTCATTTTGATTTGGTTTTTTTTGTTTGGTTTTGTTTGTGGGTTTTCTTTTTTTTATTCTTCTGGCCAGCAATGCAGTGAAAGTGATGATACCATTTTAAGATTTTGCAAGAATCAAAAATGCCCTGGTTATTGAGGGACTGGGATGTTTCACTTATGATTTAATTTCATGGTTACTTTATCATTCCTGCAGATACAGCTTGAAAACAGAGCTGAAAACAGCTGCAGAAAGTGGGTTCCCCCCCCCCCATTCAATATTCCAAAAGTTCAAAAATAAAAATTAAATCATATCAAATGAGGAAGAACACAGAGCCCAGATCTGTCTTTTATAAATTATTAGAAATGTTGCCCCCCCTATGAACTCAGAACTGGCACTGCTCATTCTGGGATTCTTGCCTTCAGAATAAAGAATGACTTTGTCATGAACCAAAGCAAAAAAAGAGGAAAGGAAAAAGCTTCAGGAGAAAATTAACAAAATCCACACTTTTTCTGATATTTGAGAATTTAGAAAACACCAGGAAAAAAAAATATCTTTGAACAAACAATGAAGCTATTGAAGTGTTTGTCTTCTTCATTACACCTACAGAACATGTCAGTTAGAAAAATGTGGCTCATCTACCTTCAACACACGGACCAAAAGAGTATCATAACTTTGGCAAATTGTTGCCTTGTGTCATCTGGTAGGGAGCTTCCCAACCCATCCCCAGAGCTTTTGCTGCACAAGAGAAGGTGCACAGAGCACTTTTGGATGCCCCACCTCTTGTTTCACAGTATTGGGCAAGACTTGCCATGTTTTCTTCCTTCTGGCAATATGAAGATGATAAATGCAACTGGACTGATTTAAAACTTAAGGAAAAATATGAACAGGAGTTTCTTCAAGCAGCTTTAAAAGGGAATAATTTGTAATCCACTTTTTTTTTTTTCATTTTGTATGTTGTGTTTAAAGGAAGAGGTCACTGGAGCTTCTTTTTTCCCTTGGACATTCCCTGTCATGAAACAAAGGGCCAACCTAACCCTTCACATGCCACAGTCTCCGAACAAAGGGAAGTAGAAGGTTTGCAGAAGCTTGAAAAGACTTCTCCATTTCTCACAGCAACATTTTGAATGCTCAGTTTTCATTAATCTCTTCAGTTGAAAAAAAAAAAAAGGCATTAATTTCCAGAAAAATTGTTTAACTATAAAATTTAACTACAATACCAGTAAAAAACCTAATTGCTCTGTCTCTCAAATGTCTCAATTACTGAATATTTACAATTCTTCAGTTCCTTTTGTCTGTAAATTCAAACTGTGAATCAGTGAGAAGTAATAGAGCTGATACCACTGCACCCTGAAAGCCCCAAATATTTTAATTGGAAAAATCTTGATACTCACTGTGGAACAATCTAACCTTGAAAAACAATTTTTTACGTTTGTCTTTAATGCATAAAACACTGCTCATTTTCTGCAATTCTGTCACCAAGGGGGCACATTAATTTAGTTGCACAATAATTTAATACATTGATTCATTGATTGAAGCAGAGAGGTTTTTGTTCAGCGCTTCCAAGAAATCCCCAGTTTCTTGCAGGATCTTTAGAAAGACAGTTCTTGCTGCAGCTGAATTAGGGGGAATTGTGGATCATTAAGGGAAGTTGCCCTTCAAAACCGATTGATCCTGCCATACTGAGCACAGTGGGCACTACATCAGGAGAGAGGAAAGACTGGCAGGGGGCAATTAATGGGGCAGATATTGGAGTGCCTTTTCTGATTACCTCATACTGTCCAGTGGATTTGGCCTTGCTGAGGCAGGCTGGTAGAAACAAGAACCCTGATGAGATACGGCTCTGCTAATGTCAAGAAGTGCCACTTCTGAGCAGCAGGAGAAACTTTATTGAAACCATCTGTTGTTTTGGAAGACACATGTGCACAGGCACACGTACTTCCTCCTCCCAATGTGTTTAACCTTTCTCTTAAGGCTGACTGAAATCACACTGCTAATCCCTCCTTAATCTCAGAATGACAGGCTCTACTGTTCCCTGCAAGTCCCAGCAGCTACTGAAAATCCGGGTGACTGGAGTTGTGTAGGTGATGTGACAGTGATAGATTCTGGAGCAGTCACTTTAGAACAAAATACCCATTCATCCACTATCATCAGAAAGTTTCTCAAGAGCAATCTGCAATTACCAGGAGCCTGGCAGAGAATTTTTGGGTACCTGCCTAGAGATGAGAAATCTGTGCATCACTGGATCTGCTTTACATAGGAGACAGAAAGAGAAGACTGAGTTTGGTCCCAGTGAAACCTCATTTTTCAGCAGATGCAACCCAACAATGATCTCAAAGGAAACAGCCCTGTTTGTGTCACAGCAGTCTCAGACTATGAGCCCTGTTACAATTTCTCAAGTCTCTAATAATAGTTTTGTGATGGTCCCTCCTTAACACACCAGGACATTCAAGCTTCTCATGGCTGTGTTTCAGAGGAGTGCATCAGAGCCCTGGTTGCCAGCAGAAAGTGTGGCACTATCAGAGCATTCACTGAGACTCAATTTACTCTAGCCTCTCTGCAAGTAAAGTATTTCTGTTGGTATTTCATGCACATCTGTGCATTTCACTTCTTATTCCTAAAAGCCATGTTTAAAAACACCACTTAAAAAGTAACTGGCTTCCCAGCTATTTAGAACAAACATATGAAACCTGGGGTCTCTGAAATCCCTCTTGCCAGCAAACCTGACCTATGTCCCCTAGGCTGCTTGAGCGCCCTGGAAAACAAACCACACAGAAAGGGGAAATGTGCCCATTCCAGAGCAGGGAGGGGCATATTTCTGATCTTGTCTCCAGAACCAGATTCCAGCAAATAGTTTGGTCTCCTCTTCAAACCCTGCTGGTGACCTCCTCTCTACTTCCAGAGGGCCCAGGTCAAACAGACCCTTGCAATGGTGGAAGAGTTAACAACAGAGAAGAACAATGACGTCTTGTGGCCCCTTCTCCATCCATTTCTGTTTCTATCTACACATGTGTGTGTGTTTGTGTGTGTGTGTGTGTTATTTGAACTCTGCAGCTAGCATGGGAAAGCCCATACTGACCTCCAAAGAAAGAGGTCACTGATGGCCTGGCCAGCTCCAACAATTTAGAGCTGGGACTTGAAGGCATTAATGTAGAAGTAAACTGATCCAGCCATGGAATGGGATTCGGTCCGAGTCTGATTCAACTGTGGGAAAGGTGCAGACACTTCCCAAAGAGCACAGATGGCTAGAGAAAAGGGAGAGCAAAACAAAAAGTGCCTCTTCTGCCTGGAACAAGCAGAGAAGGTTAAGAGCAAACTAGTTTTCCTTCTTAACTGGGGGAACTGGCATAGCTGCAACCACATTTGTTTTTTTCAGGGAGAGTACAGTAAACTTGAATTACTCAATACCATCCTATATCCCTGGGTCATTCTGAAGTCATCACTCTGAGCTGCTGTGTTTTTCAGTTCTATCTCTCTTCAGTATTTTTGTGTGTGTGTGTTTTAAAGAACTTGAATATGGAAAGACAATCCCTGGAAGTACAACAAGAAAGGAAGTATCTCTCTCCTTCATACTTTCAGCCTGAAGAACTGGAAGCTGAAAGCACTACAGATTGTTCATAACTCAAACACCCTGATGCTTAAAAAAAAGTTTCTCAGCTGTCTAACTTTTACTGGCTA